TTTTAAAGAAAACACACATATCATAAAGATAATAAAGTTTACTGAGCCTCATTAGATTCATCGTTTCGTTTTGCGTTATTTGTTTTAAACAAACAAATGCACTACTGGATGCTGGTTTTTGTTTATCATTACCGGTTTAACCTTTTCACCACTGTAGACCATAATGGACTCATATAGATAGATGTATGGTAGAGACTTCTAATGATAACTAGGGGTGAAAGGTTTAATGGATTTGCCTTTTCAGCTAAATAACAGTTACACATACATTCCCCTTTTAGACACGATTACCATTGCATACAAGCAGCATTGTCGGCATCTTCTTTGTCTGTGTCCTCATCTTGTGGGCATGTTGTAGACTAAAATAAATTTGATACCCCTTCCCCCTTTCCAGTATTTTTAGACAGTAACGTATTGTGTCTGAGTTGGGTGTCTTGTCACGGTATAAAGAACAATGACGTTGCAGTGATGTGGATTTTTGAAGTGAGCCTTGCCTAACTACATGAGGTCACCGTCTTCACATAATTTAACTGATGTGAATAAGCAAAACCTTAAACAAACGAACAGACAAGTGTCGGCTATCATTTTAAAATATGTGTTTTCTTCATAAAATATACAAGGACACGTACCACGCAGGGAAAACTTATACATCAGCACAGCAAATGAAATTTCCAAGATCTGATTTATCTTTATACTGACGTCATACTAGATATATTCATGTATACAAGTGGACATTTCTTATAAATTCATTATGTTACTTATTGCAACAGCTATCCAGAGGTTTTGACGTCGGACTAGAACCTTTCTTGCATGATGAGCTCTCTGCTGAATTATACTTTCAGATTTATTATCAATTTATCAGAGTGTTAAAAGTTGGTATAAGGATTTTTTTAAATCGAATGTAAGAATATGGTGAAAGCTACCAGTTAAATAAATACGATGTTGTTATCACTAAAAGATATGGAATGTTAAGTGTTTGTGTCTGAAACTGAAAAATACAGAAACGAAAATCTGGGGTATTCTTCGGTGTCTCTTTTTGAAGGTCCTTTTAAAGAACAAAAAAAATATTTAGGCCCACATTGTAACGCTTGACCTCGGTAAAAATCAACGCCGGGAAACGTGGTACTGGGACTAGAATACCTGACATTTCTGTTAAATATATATGGCACTAAACAGTGGTCTTTTCATAGCCTACATTGCTAAAGACATCATCTTCATATGACCTTAGCTATGAGGCGGACGCCACTCAAACATTCGCGTCTACTTTGATTAAAGGGTTATTTTGCTTCGTATAATATCGTATGTTATCTACACTTATCACGAAGGGTGACAAAAGCTATATGAAAAGCTTACTGATTATGTCTCTTCATTTTGTTGAGGGCTTATTATACTTTGCCTCTTGTTTTGGTTTTCTCTTCAGTTTCTCTACCGTCCTGGTGTTGTATTTTGTACGGACATTTGAGAACAGATTTCAATGTGTCCGTGTTTGTTATATATTACCTTAAACAACATTCAGTGCGATAATTGGCTACATGTCAAACTGAGGATCAAGCCAATTTGTACTAGTATTAAGACCTTGTTTAGTGTGCAGAAAGGATAATTAGATATATTATGGGTTGAGGTGAATAAAAGACTAAAGCAAAACCGTCAATGCTATTATTTGTCGGTTGTTGCGTTGAACCTGTAAAAAGTCAATGAGCTGCTATCCGCATCAGAAAAAATAATGTATCGATATAATATTGGATCAAAAGATTTTCAAGTCGATTCAGACATAATTAGTTGCTTATTTAAACCTCAATGTCATACATACATTGTATGCATATCTGATATCCTCGGGTGCATTAACCAACTAATTTTGAAATGTCAGATAAATACTAAAATAGCACTTAAAATTCACGGTACAAAACTTTTCACGTGTTTTATAATTTGATGTTTATCCATTACTGATAAAAAAACACTTTCACAAGATAAAATATTATTATTTAGTCGTCAATGTATATTGCAAAATCATCCCCGCAGGACGGGGATTGAGAATAGAATATACGCGCTGTTACAAACTGAATGTAGTAAGAGGCGACTTATGTGTGAACCCACTGCAAAATTGGGAATTTGTTTTTGTGTCCTGTACCAGCTGGGGGACACAAAAGTGACCAAGTAAATAGGCTGCCCACAGTGCAATATTTTGGATATGTATATTTTCTCACTACCTTTTTGTTTCCTGGCGCCTTTCTTGGCAAAACCTAACATTTTAAGGCAATGGATTCTGTCCCAAGGCCGGCACATACCATTACACGTTACATATGTTATGACAGACAGCATACAGAAACTGTAGGATGATGTCAGGCTAGGGTAGTAGGGGGGATAATAATTTAATACGTCACGATCAGCTTACGATGACAGATGTCGATTGCAAATCAAATATGACAGACTACTCTCGGTGGAGTTGTGACTGAAATAATAGGTTTGGAGGAAATTAATCACCCTCTACCCTTGAGGGTGTAACAGAGAAATCTCCAACCGTCAGGCTGATTATTTGGCTGTACAATGCTCAGAAGAGCTCGTGGGTTGGAGATTATTCTGTGATGCACACCTTGAAGGTAGGGGAAGATTTCATTATTCAACAAAACTCTAGACTATATTGATGTTCAATAGATTTGCCACCTCCCTTATAAATTGCCAAAATATTTCAAGATCTTTTTTTTATTCTAAACACTTTTACGTGCATGTATGGTGAAATGTCTCAATTCTGAAACAATTTGGTCATCACTCTCACATTACATCCAACATCACATTGATGAAATGCACCAGTAGTAACTACAATATGATCTATGAATTTTGTGAGTTTTTTTCTTCTTTTTAAAATAATCTACATTGTCCTTTATAAGATTCATCAGTTGGGATATATGTATCTTTTTTTTTTAACTTTAGTTACTCTAGTTACAACCAACACATATAATGTTATAACCTCTATGAAACTTCCACTTCATACATACCTAAACTAGTGCCAGTAGATTTCTGATAACATACTTCAGCTTGTGCCTGTATATTTTTGATAACATACTTCAGCTTGTGCCTGTAGATTTCTGATAACATACTTCAGCTAGTGCCTGTAGATTTCTGATAACATACTTCAGCTTGTGTCTGTAGATTTCTGATAACATATACTTCAGCTAGTGCCTGTAGATTTCTGATAACATACTTAAGCTAGTGCCTGTAGATTTCTGATAACATACTTTAGCTAGTGTCTGTAGATTTCTGATAACATACTTAAGCTAGTGCCTGTAGATTTCTGATAACATACTTCAGCTTGTGCCTGTGGATTTCTGATAACATACTTCAGCTTAAGTGCCAGTAGATTTCTGATAACATACTTCAGTATGTGCCTGTATATTTCTAAGATTTCTGATAACATACTTCAGCTAGTGGCTGTAGATTTTTGAAAACATACTTCAGCTAGTGCCTGTAGATTTCTGATAACATTCTTGAGCTAGTGCCTGTAGATTTCTGATAACATACTTCAGCTTGTGCCTGTAGATTTCTGATATCATACTTCAGCTTGTGTCTGTAGATTTCTGATAACATACTTCAGCTTGAGTCTGTAGATTTCTGATAACAAACTTCAGCTTGTGCCTATAGATTTCTGATAACATACTTAAACTTGTCCCTGTATATTTCTGATAACATACTTCAGCTTGTGCCTGTATATATCTGATAATATACTTCAGCTTGTACCTGTATTTTTCTGATAAGATACTTCAGCTAGTGCCTGTATATATCTGATAACATACTTCAGCTTGTACCTGTATATTTCTGATAAGATACTTCAGCTAGTGCCTGTAGATTTCTGATAACATACTTAAGCTAGTGCAGCTGTAGATTTCTGATATCATACTTCAGCTTGTACCTGTATATTTCTGATAAGATACTTCAGCTTGTGCCTGTAGATTTCTGATAACATACTTAAGCTTGTGCCTGTAGATTTCTGATAAGATACTTCAGCTAGTGCCTGTAGATTTCTGATAACATACTTCAGCTTGTGCCTGTATATATCTGATAACATACTTCAGCTTGTACCTGTATATTTCTGATAAGATACTTCAGCTAGTGCCTGTATATATCTGATAACATACTTCAGCTTGTACCTGTATATTTCTGATAAGATACTTCAGCTAGTGCCTGTATATATCTGATAACATACTTCAGCTTGTACCTGTATATTTCTGATAACATACTTCAGCTTGTGCCTGTATATATCTGATAACATACTTCAGCTTGTACCTGTATATTTCTGATAAGATACTTCAGCTAGTGCCTGTATATATCTGATAACATACTTCAGCTTGTACCTGTATATTTCTGATAAGATACTTCAGCTAGTGCCTGTAGATTTCTGATAACATACTTCAGCTTGTGCCTGTAGATTTCTGATAACATATACTTAAGCTAGTGCAGCTGTAGATTTCTGATATCATACTTAAGCTAGTGCAGCTGTAGATTTCTGATATCATACTTCAGCTTGTGTCTGTAGATTTCTGATAACATACTTCAGCTTGAGTCTGTAGATTTCTGATAACATACTTAAGCTAGTGCCTGTAGATTTCTGATAACATATATACTTCAGCTAGTGCCTGTAGATTTCTGATAACATACTTTAGCTTGTGCCTGTAGATTTTTTATATGGAGTTTACCCGAGAGGTAACATGAACTTTCCATGAAAGTAGGACGGGGTAGACATCTTATATCTTTTTAGTACTGACATACTCCTTCCAACTGAAACTGACATTTCTCATGTTAATAATGCTGATACTATATTTATTGTGTAATGCACCAATCGCAGCACCATATTTGTGAAACTAGTTTGACATTCTGCTATTCCAGTAGAAAGGCCTATCCAACTCAAGACTCCAAATCAAATTCATCTATGGCTGGGCGAATTGCCTATCATTTCTATTCTAATTATTAATCATATTTTATCAGTGGTAACACAAAACAAAACGTAAGAGTTTTGGGGTGTGATAGATGTTTTAATGAAAAAGCCCTCATAACAACAATTTCCATTCAGAGGTACATGATGCAAATTCATATCATGATGTACCCATATTTGGTTTATAAATCATTCTCAGATTGTGTCGAAGTACATCTTGCAAATTATGCATGGTACACGAGAAATATGATTTTATATTCATATAAAGACTGTTTGACAGTCAATCAATAGGTCTACATGTACATTTAAAAGAGGTAATACCTTTTTATTGTACATTAAATACTTGGTAAATATTGATACTCATCAATCTATTCTTTACTCTAAAAATGTAATTACAACTATATTACATGCATTAACGCATATGATACAACAAAGTTTTTTGCTATCCTTTCAAACACAATATTTGGACACAAATCCACTCTACAAAATGACACACTTGCTGCGAGAAATGATCTGTAATTCAGATAGCCACACACATAGCAAACATGATACACCAACATTCATAACATATAAACAATGCAACTTAAGTTACAATTGAAATAAAATTTTACAATTGAAATAAAATTGTCATTTTTTAATGAGAGCCACATAGCATTAATTTCATGTTGACGAATACTTTGTTTTGCAAATAATTAATATGTCTCCTAATTCAATCAGTTACCAAGAAATTGTCATATTACTAATTAAAATTTGTCCTATAATGCACACAATCTTTTGAAAGCACATCCATATCTTCTTCTGGTCGGAGAGCCCAATACCTTTACCATAGTTTACTTGCATACTTGAGAAATGTTTATTATGATATTCCTAAATGCCCAGGAAACTTATTAGCTCAAATATAGTTTAATATACTGTTAGGGCGATTCCATAACTTATATTGTATGGGGGAGGTGGGATGCACATGAATTGATGTATAATAGGTGTTTCGGTTTAAAACCAAATCTGCCAACCATTCCCGATATTAAATAACTTTTAATATTTGATGGGTGTTGGGGTCTCTGTTAAAAGCCTCCTAGCCCTTCAATATGGTTATTTCTTGAACAGCCCTCAGTGATTACTAAGATTTGTATACTATTTACTGACCACACATTAACACTTCCATACATGTCAGTAATTATGTAAATGATTCATATAAATATAACAGTTGTCTAGGGTCTTTTTTCGCATGTCATCTTTAAAATCCTTTTTTTTTCATTATTTTATAACTTTTTTGTCCTGTACAATAAACATCAGTAAAATCCTCACCTAGTCATAAACCTACCAATGACAGATTCAGAAAAGGTGGAAAGTCTTCAGTTTAATATCAAAAGATTACTTCCATATCAATTTGAAGATTTCAATACTGCATGAAATAATATTTGAACAGCTTTGTTTATTTCTTCTTGTCCTCCTTACACGCAATAACATAGCGCTGGGCAACCATAAGGGGTGGTGAGTAACCGTCTTGATAGGATGTGTCCTCAAATAACACGGAATAGTCGTCCTGTGGCTGAAAATTATAAAAAAAAAAATGAATAAAAAATGAATATTTGTACTGTATACAGGGAAAGTTTTGCTAAGTCAAACTTTCAACATTCCCAAGAATAATCCATATTCACCCAGTGTTAATGTCGCCCTCAGATTTAATTACGATGCATATTATGTTGTTTACTAATGTTTGCTGTATTAGTCAACAACAAAAAAAGCTGCAGTGAAATTTTCCAATATACAATATTCATTTTGAAATTTGAATGCATTAACATTTTGATATAATTGCCCTTGTTTCATTTCCCACCACTCTTACTTCCAACATATTTCAAGGTCAGGTTTTTACTTTCTCTTAACAAATTTCTATATATTGCAACACACCGCCTTTTGTTTTGACAGCCTCATGTTACGTAATTAGTCTTGTTTCCTAGTTTATAATGCTGATTGGTATGCCTTTTTTATCTACTATATTTATAACTGTCACTGTAGGATTACTACTGTTCATGTTTTGTAAAGCACCTTTAAGAGTAATTTTCCAAATTATGTAGGGCGCTATATAAATGTTGTATATTATTTACTTTTATTATCATTATAACACCAAAATCTGGTTTCGACACATGGCAGCAGTATTTTAACGTTTTCATTGTTGTATTGATGAGTTGCATTTACTTGCATCACCTTTTTAATGTTATTTATTTGAAAGAAAAAAGTTATAAAGAAAAATTTATAACAAAAAATTGAAACCTGAGCTACTAAAATCTAATAAATTCTGATTCACATTATTTTGATTTCAAAACAAAATGTTTCCTAATATTTTTTGGTTATAATTGTTATTTCTAGTAATTAATGTATTTCTCAACTACTTTTAATTTTTTAAAGTTCTGAATTTTTGAGGCTCCAAATCAAGTACATACAACTGATCTGGATATTAATTCAATCTTCACAAATATTTGACTCCTTACCTTTTTAGGAGGTTCATGTATGAGAGCTCTATAAAAACAGGTTGTCTGGGGGTACAATGCTAGCACCAACTGAAATACAATACAACAATGAATGTAAAAACCATATATATATATATATATACTATTACAATTAAGGTAAAAGTACAAGGAAATAATTACAATGTCACAGAATACAAAACAAAAATTATATTGTAATGAAAAAAAAAAGATATATTACCATATAAAAATACAAGGATAATAATTACAATGTAACAGAATACAAACATAAAATTACGATGTAATGACCGTGTAGGTTGTCCTATGAGGAATGGTTGGTAATCCTGATTTTTAAACTGCTGCATATTAATTTCAACATTTTTAAAACAAAAACTTTTCACAGATTTAATTCATAGAATGCTGATGTGACTTTGACCAAATTTTGGTACGCAGCATGTGAGCCGATATGGTTTGGTTCCAGATATGGCCTTTGCACAGCTAGCAGTATATTGCACATGTAAATGATAGTGATTCATGAACTTTACCATATTTTTTGTAAATAACGCCTCAGGATCAGTTTCTGGATTAGCTTTCCATATTGGCAGTGGAACAATTCTTCTTTTACTGAGGGTATGTCGTCTGTAATAAAGAAAATAAGGCATACATGTACATTTCCCTTTCTATACAAACTATTTGATTACATCGAGGAAATGAACAAGCATCACATTACTTTGTCTGATTTCACAGATAACACAGATTTGTTCTGAGGAGAAATACATCCACAAGCATTCTACAAGTGTGTAGCTATCTACCACATCAGATACATGGGGTAAAGAAGATATTGTCTTCCCCATTATACAGACATGTCCAGACTTCTACTTGGGAAAGATATCTCTATCTACCCTCGGGTAAAGACGGGGGATATTTTTCACGAGCAAAAGCACAATTGAAAATATCAATATGTTCTGCTATAAAAGTCAACTATATGGTAAATTTTATGTTTACGAAATTTTTTGAAGTAATTACAATGACTAAAATGTCACTCTATCAAAACAGTTCGAGATTTCATAGCGTCATCTCTGGTATCACATTCTGATGATTTCATGTTTAACAATGTTAACAAGACTGAATGCCACTATATATATATATATGCAAGGGCTACTCAATGCAACTCTACCATATTCTGCTAATATCTTTGTAGGTTTAGTTCTGTTTTGAAACAATGAAGTTTTGCCTACCGAACTTCTGAAATGTTTTGAGAAAGCAGAAACACAAAGTTCAATTAGAATGGCCTTATGTATCTGAACACTAAGATGTACCAGGTTTATACTGGAAGTAAGACCTACTGTACTAGACTAAAAGTTTTATACCGATTACGCACTGTGAGGTTTCTTTCATAATAATAATACTCACTCTTTTCCTTCATCTGCATCAATGTCATCTACATCGTATTTGTTTGTGGAGGAGTTGAAGGTGACAACCTCGGCTAGGATCCAGTTCTCCTCGTCATCTGACCTCACTCTGGCTGCTACCTTGTCTCCAGGCTTGGCTACATAGTTATTGTCAGCAGTGATAGCTCCACACAGGGGCGGGGGCCTGGAACACAACAGTAGAGGTCATAGGTCACACAGAAATAGATAGGGACTAGGGCTACATAGTTATTGTCAGCAGTGATAGCTCCACACAGGGGCGGGGGCCTGGAACACAACAGTAGAGGTCATAGGTCACACAGAAATAGATGGGGACAAGGTATTAGAGAATAATATGTGCGAAAAGGTCAAAGGTCACTCAGATCACGAGGAATGTGAATACGGAGCTAAGTTGCAACACATGAAAGAGGAACTGTAAGAGCTCAAAAGGTCAGCAAATGACAAAGAGGTCAGCAAGTGACAAAGAAGTCAGCTTGAAGAAAGAATTACAGTAAATCAACATGTCATAATAAAAAATCACACAGAAATCTTAGAAGAAATACCTTAGAAGAATTTAAAAACATGGACAGGGACTAGCATAACTATACCATCCAATAAGCTTTGTCCTTGAGAGTGGTATGTCATACACTTTGAATTTTTAAAGCTTTATGTCTTTCATGTCATTGGCATTGGAAATAGCATGTTTGGTATGTGACATGTACTTTGACCTTCGAGCCATAAAAGTAATACATATATGCCAATGAAAATTTCAGTACAAATTGTTCTGCTGTTCAAAATTTAGTCAGGACAAATATTGCAATGTATAGACTTTAAACCTTTTGCTGTAACCTTGACCTTGTAGAGTATAGATATGACAGTTGACCCCTGGCTTTGTGTGAACTTGAACTTTGGTACATGGATGTGACATGATATGTATCACTATAACTTACCGGGTACTAGGGGGTGCAGGAGTCAGGGTCAAAGGTCACAAATAAGGATTAAACAGATTTTTTTTTACAATTTCATGCTGGTATGAACTCAAATCGGTAACATACATGTCCATATATATAATATTCTATGAAGCCATCAAAATGTATGTGACCGATTTGCGATCATAAAGACATGAACATTGAAAAACTGCCATCCAATCCTGATATTTACATTCTAAATATCTTTAGTAACTATTGACCTTAATACATACATTCCCCTATATTTTCAATATTAAAGTTTCTGAGTTGTCAGTGCATACAAGATTCCTGGAACAGCCTAATGTCACCAAAATGTTTGTTTCTAACGGTTATCTCATGTTAATCGAGGCGGAAGGAGAAACATCAAAGTGACGCTGATCCAATTGCGTTCATAGTCCTATGTATGAAATTTCTTATGGTAAATGCTTATTGAGGAACTTACAGTGGAAATGTAAATATGAAATATTGAACATGAAACATGAAGTCAGATTCAAAGACTTACTTCTCTCCTGGCTTGCTGACCCATAGGGGTAATGTCTGTGCATTCTGTTGTAACATAGTCATCAAAACGCCTCGTCTCATGATTGGTTTGGGACGGTCTGAGTCTGACAAAATATATCACATGAATAAATACAAGTACATATAAAATATGAAGATATTTAATGGTTTCCCGTTTCATTCCATATTTCAAGAATAAAGCAGAATATCAATATTTGTATTGATTGAAAATAATAAAGTTTCTATTTATTACTTTTCAAAGTTCATAAAAAGATAAAAATGTTCCTGTGTCAAAATCTGGCCCATATATACTAATGACGTAACACTTGACAACAAGACTAAGTCCAATTTTGAATGGGCATAACTGTGGTCATTACAATCCTGAACATTTTTCTGCTATGATCTAGTAGTATTTTCAGTTATGTACATGTATATATATCTTTGTGCTAATTGTACCAAAAATGTACCAATTTGAAAACATTTCTTATTCTATTATCGCTTCATCTGCACCTGACTAGAAATGTCAACTTTGAAAGCAGTACCATTTTGAATGGTCACAGCCAACAATTCATATTTCTTTATTATCAATTATAACTGCTCCAAACACCGGTACGGCCCCCCTTCTTCCCAACCCTCATATAATTATTTTCGGAAGAGTCCTTTGACCATCCATTATTATCATTTCATCATTAAGACCAACAATAATAATAAAATATGATATTGATTTGAGGTTCTTATATACAGCTTTATCACAAACTAGGTCGTCACAGGGTGGTTCACAAATTATTATCCTTGATTATTGGGCCTTTGCGAACAAGCCAATATCAACCTTGGGAGCATACAGCCAGTGCTGCCATTTAGGCACTCACAGCTAGCATTCAACAATTCCAGCATTGCCCAACCACATACTCATTTACAGCTGAGTAGACTGGAACAATCAGTGTAAAGTATCTTGTTCAAGGATATAACACATACGTACAGTGCCATGACGAGATTCGAACCCTGACCCTTCAGTCATGAGCCTGGCATCCTACCACTAGACTAACATGCCTTCACAATAGAAAGACCATCTCTGTTTAGTTTGTTATGTTAGTACGGTTATGTTGAATTTTCTTTCATGTATTTTAGCACTAATATATAAAGAACATTAAGGTATCATTTATCATAAACCAGATTTGTGTCTCTATGAATACTCTACCTTTTATTTTACCAAGTCGACGGTTTTCCCGGATACTCTTTACCTCAGCAATCTTATCAAGAGCTTTTCGCAATAATCTGCAAATTCAGATTAAAATCATTAAAAAAAAACATGCAAAATAGTACACAATATATTACACTATTCAATGACATTAGTAGGGATCTAAATTCAGAAATATCTAGATGAAAATGCATGATTTGTGTAAACTAGCTCTGCAGCGAATTATAAAATAAATACTGTGCTAACACAAAACAAAGACAATACTACAATTTAGGTCTTAAAGGACTGCTTTGTGAAAACCTCTTAGATCTCTAATAAAACGTTTACGCTTATTATCAAGTCGTTACATTCAAATTTACAAAACATTGTTCGGACAAATGATTTTGAAAAAGGATTTGTTTTCTAATTAGACAATCTGGTCCCAATATTAATCATTTACATAATAAGTTTATATATACATTCGTAATTGAACATTGCATGAAAGAAGCCCTTATAATATTGGTGTTTTAAAAGATATAATAAAATCTAGTTTAATTTTCTGATCAATTTTTTTGAATAACTAAAGTCATTGCATAATGATATTCAATAAATCATTGCACACTAGTATGTTGGGCGACTGTACATGTAAGCAGACGATTATTTACACTTGGTCTATATATACAGCTATCACACTTTGGAATTTTCTTCTCTGGGTTATGTTAATATCAAAATTTTTATGAAATATTTCTAACCTAGCATAAATTTAGGTACACACTTCTTCTTGTATCCACCGCTGATTATTAAGAACAATTAACCTTTATAACAATGATCAGTGTTACTTTGGTGTTTGATCATGACATACCAGAACCCAGTAGTTTAAAATCTGATTTGGGCTGTTCCAGAAATAACCATATGGTAGGGGTGGGAGGTACTTTTTCAGAGACCCCAGTAGTTTAAATCCTGATTTAGGCTATTCCAAACATAACCATATGGTAAGGATGGGAGGTACTTTTCAGCAACCCCAGTTGTTGGGCTGTTCCAGAAATAACCATATCCATGTGGTATAGACGGGAGGCAAACCCACCATCCATCAAATATCAAAAATGATTTAATAATAGGAATGGTAGGTAGACCTGGATTTAAACCCAACACCGACAATATTATAATACAGATGCTTCCCACTTCCCCCATACAATTGATTATGGAATAGCCTTCAGCTTAATTATATGAGCTGTTATATTTTCATTCTCATCAATATTAAGTGATGTCCAATTGCAAGTAATTAATGAATAAATAGAAATGATCTTAAAGAATAAGATACTATAAACAAACATAATATGCCTTACTTACTCAGCTTCTAGTTCAGCATCTTGCATGGCAGTTTTGTACAGACCTTTTAGTTTGTTCTTGTAATATGGTGTCACTGAAACAAAAATATACAAAAAAATGAAAATTTAACTGCGTGAATCCGGCTTCTGTCCAAATTTCCAGAGAAATCTTTCATTAGCAATTCACAGTAACTTTCTTTTGGAAAGGTATTTTTGTCATAGATAACATAAACCTCACAACATCAAATTAAGCTTAGTCAAAGCAGTGAATCACATTACTGTATAACGAATAATTTTCGTCCAGTTCAATTTTCGCTCTTCGTCAGTAAGATCCATTTTGCCCAATACATGTATTAAGTTCGCACTTTACATTTAATTTCTATATGTTGTTTAAAATGTGCACTATCATGATAAATTCATTACAGGAGAAGAAAAAGGTGAAAAATTACACTGCAGTGAAAATGTCCCAGTATACAGTAGCCCAGCACTGAATTCTCTAATATATATATAGATTAACAGATGCTGTAACTATAGATTCGTCACACGTTCCCTCCATATCTATTTCACTGTTTTGCAGTTCAAGGGCAAAAAGAGGGAAAATAAAACTGCAGTTACCATTTTCTAATTCTACAGTATAGTGTGTATCAATATACCAAGACCCCTTTCGCACATCCTTCGGTTCAACCTGTTTGTCTGTTTTTAAATGCAACATTTTCGGGTATAAATCCTCACAGACTTGCAAATGTTCATGCATGCCTTGCAATGCTTTGTCAAGCCTCGCCTGAAAGCAGCATCAGAATACTTAGGCCCGACTTTAATACATAAAAGAACAACTCTGGTCCAACTGGTTTAACCATTTGGATCACAATAAAGGGATGTGGCCCATTACCTTTCTGCTCTTGTTGCATTCGCTCATGTGTTTTGGAGATATTTGTGAGGTTGTGTTCACCCCTGGCTCTCTCATCCTGCATTGATGAAAAATCCTAACAGTAAATACATCTGTTAATAAACATTTCTTGCCTATGCATGTTTTCAAATAAATTTATTAAGCTTATTTAATGGAAGTTGCAAAACCATTCATGGCAAATTGGTAAAGTCATCACAATATATAATAAGTTAAACAAAAGGTACAAGTACATGTCGTTATATAAAAATAAAAGCATATGAAATAATTATATAAGTACTCATATATGATATTTGTATAAAGCATGATGTACCACTGGTCAAACTGACCATTTGAATTTGTTCTTGTTGTGAAGTCCTCTTCAAAATTGTTAAGAGCCTAGCTGGCAAAATTTTGTTTGTAAAATCTATGCAAGTCAGCGAAGCAATATTTTGCAATGATACAAAATTTAAACTTGTAATGATTTCTCAAGAAAAATATTTATCTTATCAAAAACCTTAAAAATATGTGCATACTGTACAATTAGTTTTAAACTTGTTTCATGATCCTGAGACTAGGTGCTTGTTGTTTGGTCAGTTACCAACTGTGTTTATCCTGCAATGAGCACAGAATAGAAGATCATCACATATTTTTTTTTATTAAAGGTAGCTATGGAGTTTGTCATTTTTTCTGATCTGCAATAGATATTGTTCAGCTTGTTATGAGATAAATACAGTATTACAGTTATAATTACCTGTACTTGGTGTATGAGATGATAAAGTTCCTTCAACAGGTCTTTGATGCGAACCTCAGCTGCCGCAGTACTGCTTGTGGAGTTTGTGTCTGAGGAAGGACTGTGACTACTGCTGGCCCCCACATTACTCCCTCCACCTCCCGACTTTGTTCGACCCATTTTCTGTTTCAGTTAGCTTGTCTCCTTCGTCACATGAAAGCGGTTGTTTTAGAACTGATTTCTACGATGTATTTCCATCTAAGAATGAAATAATGACATTGTTGTTAAGAATTTGTCGTAAACGTATAAACTGAATGTCTGTCATGGCTTGATTAAAGTATTGAACATACAACATTTTAAAATAAATTGTATTTTACATGGCTCTTGCATGTCCAGAACTGTAGGAGAGGGAAATTCCAACAAAAGGGTGGCAAAACTAAAGGATGGTGGAAAGCCATCCTGGTTGGAAATCTTGAGAGTTGCATTCCCTATCGTATCCCCTTTGTGTGAATAAGTACTTTTTTCACATTTTTATCACCTGAGTCAGCTCAGAATTGATGAAAAGACATCTTGACCGGCTAGCATTTTTAAAAAAGGTTTACTTTCCCCGGAATAAGAGCTTTTTGAAGACAAAAAAAAAGTCAGAAAGATTTAGCATACCCTACGTATACATACTCTCGGTATCAAGCATATGAAATAGAATGTAAGATAGTAATTTCCTTCTTAATTTTCTTGCCCTGATGACCACCTTAATCTTAATCAGCTATATATGATCACAATAATTCTGGATGAGCTCCTTATCTGGATGCACAGTGAAGTATTTATAAATAAATCTCTCTAGAAGATGCAAGTTCACTGTTTTTTTTAGAATTTTATGATTGGTGTGGTATTTCTCATCGTTACACTGTTTACAATTCAAATTATTTGCAATATTATTGTATACCACTGAATTAACTTATGTTCAACCAGATTTAATTCCAAATGGAACCTAGCAACAGTGTATGTGCATAAACGTATTAGTCTTGCTAAAGTCAGAAGTTTCTAAAGGAGATCTTAGGACAGACCATCCATGGACAAATTATATATCTGGAACCACATGTGAAGTACCTATGATTAGAATATATATCTGTCTAGAGTTTAGAGGGTCACTGTATAGTAGTCATTTCTTTCCCTAGCTGAAAGTATCAGCTAGCCAATTCATTCCCTGGGGAATAAATACATTGTAGGCAGATTCTTTTTGTGGGAAAACTTTCAGCAGGGGAAGTCATTGGCCATTACACCAGTATTAGGTTGTTTTGCCCTAAATCATGTTCGCCTCGAGTCATTTCGCACTAAATCCTGTTCGCCCCGGGTCATTTTGCACTAAGATGTTTTGCCCTTTAAATATTTTTAGGGCGAGCGTTTTTAGTCCTGTTTATTTGTGTATAGCTATTAGTCTTATGGGAAGTATAATAGTTATTTTGTTTAATGATTAAAAACAGTTCAGCTGATTTTCATATTTTTAAAATATATAATTAAATTAGGGCGAAATAACCTTGGTCATACTTGATTTTGGGCGAAATGACCCGTAGTGCAAATGGGATAAAGGGTGAAACCACCCTGATCTGTTACACCAGGCTCAAATCCCAGTTACGCTGTGCATTTCTCTTCCCCTGCTTCACTGGTGCCTGTGAGGCAACCATTGTTTCAAGTACTGCACATGTGTGCATGCCTGGCAAAGGGATATTCGAACCTGGGTTTAAACAGTGTTGTCTTCGAGTCCGAGTGAAGACTAAGAAATATAGCTGAACTGAAATTGGTCAGTCGCAGGTAGCTCAATAAGTTAGAGCTGCCTATGTCTAGAGTTTAATTGGTACGCTTCTGTGTCTTGACGTGCTGTATGAAAGGCAAAGAAAATATCAATATGTCAATTTCAAAAGGGTTACTTTAAAGTAAAATGTAGAATCTTTCTCGTTCTATATATAATATATTTCAAACTTATCTTCCACGCCTAGTTCAACACCGAAACCAGCTTACAACAGAAGCCTGAGTTTACCGACAGACAAAGTCTGTGATTATGTTTGTTTTGACAGAATCAGCTGATTGGCCACACATTTCTATGCAATCTGCATCTTATCCCATTGTCAGATACATAAAACGAGATATAAGAGCAAATTCGAAACATTTGAAATTTAAAACAATGAATAAACAGAACGGATGAATGATTATATATATCCAGAAAATAGTCAGTACCTATCTGGTGTTCCTTTTCTCTGGTCAGAACGTAAAATATAAACAAAGCACAGACCGGAAATTGAGTTGAAATTAAACGTTTGATACCTTTCTTGACAAAGGTGATAAAGTACACAAAACCCCGAGTGTATTCCGAAAAGATTGAATAATTTCTTACACGCTCATTGATTGGTCAGATATACCGTCGATGCCTTAAACATTTTGCTATTGGTCAATATACCGATACAGCTTCCATCATGGAGGAGATGTTGCTCCTTTTCTGTGGAGCTTCTTTCTATTCATCTTCCTTTTTTATCACAAAACAGACTTTGCTATGTTTATTTAGAAAGAAACTCACTGATGCAGATGTTGTTGCAATAAGCGAAAAGTAAGTTCTCATTTCGACGTATCTAGCGAAATCGATCACTCTTAATCTCAAAGTCAATGCCGGTGGATAATTATTATTACTTCCCAAATCCTGTAGTTGGTGGGTTTTTTTTTATCAGAAAATGAAATATCCATTCAGACTAAGCAAGAGTTGGTCACAGGAACTAATATAATAGGAATTATCATAAAAATGAAAGGCCAGACGGGGGTTAGAACCTTGGACCCTCCGAATTCTAGACAGATGCATTATTAATTAAGCTACATGTACCTTGCTGTCGACTATCGACTCAGTCAATTCCGCTACATGCAAATATATAGATGACGGCACAAATCTGTACCTGTCAACTCCCATGTCTATTTTCATTATTTTTAAAACACTGGCGCAGAATATTTTGATTGAAAAAAGGAACAGGACAAGCAGCCTGTTTTGTGCTATGATGTATTTAAACTGAAGTGCATAAATACTAACTTTTTGATTAGATGGAATGATTACATAGCACCAGGCTTTGGAAGGCATTATAGTTTTAAATGCAGGAAATGTAACAGTAACACAACTAGCTTGACAAATATCTTATCAACCCAACATGGTGCCACAAATGCTAAACATACTTCAGCGATTACAAAATAACCCAAAGTATGGCATATCATTGAAATAAGTTAAGAGTTTTGAAGTTTTAACAAGATTTCTAATTTGTATAACTATAAATTGATCTGTATCTCATCATAACAAAATAAGCTATAAATCTCATATTATCAAGATTAAAAATATGCATGTTTATTTCCATCCACTTTAATATAGTGGAACTTCTTTAACTATTTCAGTTGCCAATACCAACACTGAGGATCATATTATTTAAACCCTTATTTAGCTACCCGAATTGTATGTTTATCCAATTTATCAGCTCATAACAAAAAAATCTGCGTACATGTAACAAATTCAATTGATGTTGCTTCCATAATTGATTGTTAATAATGAAAAAGTTGATTTCATTAAAACTACATGACTGTACTTCTGTGAAAGCAAAAGATAACATTTTCGTGAATCTATCACATCCATGTATTGTGTATGAGTAAGATTCAGAATGCCTGTTAGAAAAACAGTGTGATATTACACTTTTATCTACAAGTACAATGTTATTCACCAGATAACTACATTTTTACATTGTAGGATTGTAAATGGCATACATGGTGTGGTGGCTGTTATCATTGGTGCTATCATATCCTCCCAGTGTAAAGACGACATCTTATATAGCAGGTAGGTATGGGCACACACAATAGGATAGTAGTTTGTATCTACACTACAGGTAGGTACACACAACAGATAGGATTTGTTTCCCCCCCCCCCCCCCCCACACACACACACACACACACACTTCAGTTAGGTACACACATTAGTATAAAGGGGTATGTCTCGCACATAAGAGATTGTATCCAAACTACAGCTAGACAGATAGTATTTGCCCTCCTTACAAGTAAGTAAATACAATAATGTAGAGGTATAACTCTCCACACTACAGGTAGGTCATGTACACACTAGAATAGGGGTTCCTCTCCCCCCTTTTCAGGTAGGTACACAAAAAAGGATAGGATATGTACCATAGATATGCATTCAAGTTCTTTAAAAAGCCTTGAGCTTTAGTTCATCTGCAATTCAGTGCAGTATATAATATGTCATGGCCCACCATTCCTTACGAGTAGGTTAACACATGCCCCCGGTAATATAGCGTAATAGGTAAGGGGTATGTATACCCCCGCCCCCCACATTCATACAGGTAGGTAAGGGGTATGTCCCCTCTCACACCCCAAAGGTAGGTACACATAATATATAAGGGGTTTGTCCTTCCCTTGCTTCATACAGGCAGGTACACACAATGAGTAATGGGTAGCCCCCCTCCCAACAGGTAGGTACATACAATGAGTAATGGGAATTCCCCCTTGCATCCGGTAAGTACACACAATGAGTAATGGGTATCCCCCCTCCCAACAGGTAGGTACATACAATGAGTAATAGGTATCCCCCCTCCCAACAGGTAGGTACACACAATGAGTAAAGGGTATGTATTATTGACTTAGCACAAGTAAAGTTTTTCTGTGGCACTATATTTCAATGTCTATATTGAAATATATGTATTATATAAATTTATGTATTAAAAAGACTAGCAAGCATATCATTAGCTTTTTTATGAATTTCAGCTTGTTCCTCCAGGGGTTTGAAGGGGCTATTATATCTTGATGAAGTATAACAACATCAATTGAGCTTCAATTTATATAAGAATAGGGAAAAAATACATTACCTTTTTATTATCGATAGATGTTGTAATAAACAATGCAATGCTTTTAGAATGGAGTATATCAATTTAAAAAAATGGCATATAGGATAGAGTAAACATAAATTATTATAAAATATTCATCATTTTCACATATTAGATTTTGCCAATATGCAATTACATGAATCGTAACTTGCATCCTTGATATATATATATATTTTTTTATTTCAGTTATTGGCTGACCAATGCGTTTACCTGGTTTGGAATGCCCTACTTTATCTATGACCTGGTAGTGATGTACCTTGGTCACCTGTTGATCTTTCCTGCTATACAGAAACAATCATTTGTGGATAGAATTCAACACTTTGTCCTCCACAACAAACTACTTACCCTCCATCATGTCATGTTACCGATTATATTTACTCCAGTTATCTTGGTAAGTATCAGAGGTGATTAAATGTATACAACTTCAGAAACTTGAGGGTGTATATATATACATGCATCCTTATACGTTTAACCTGTGATTTGTGTTAAAATTATCTTCTTAGACGTTATACTTGTGTTTTGTGCTAGAGTTGTCTCCCTTACTTATTACACCTAGGTTGCATTCGCATATCCGGGTTGAATAAACAGTTCAGATTGTGCAAAAATATTCCACCATAAACGAACACACTTGGACCTAACTATAAGGAGAGCTAAAAAATGTATAGTTTCGGAGAATATAAACAACAATATATCAAGAATAATATGTCCTTCTTTCACGCGTCCACTAAATTATAAAACGTATCTTAAAATCCACATGTTGATTGACCTTGTTTTATATAGAAATAATGTAAACTAGTAAGTCAGCATTTTAGTTTTGGTCAGGTGCGTCTGGACCCCTCAATCTACACGTGCCAAATATTCCTGAGGTCAACCTCGGTTCAGATCTGCGCCTGTCGTTTTCTTCCGGGTTCAATCGTTTCAACTGGTTGAACCAAATACGCAATAGGGGCCCTGTTATTTGTGTTAAGATTATCTTCCTCACACATTATAGCTGTGACTTGTGATACAGTAAGGGGGATCACAAATCAAAGGTTTAATGTGTATGGTAGCATATAACGTTCGCGACCAACTACAAATTAATTGTACAAGCCTGTGTGCAAATTCATCTTTTCTTTTTAAGACGCAACTTCAGTTGTGTTACATTTTCATCCATTGACATTTTGATAAGTTGACAAACACTGATGTTCAAATTCAGTGTAAACCAATTGATAACTACTTATATATATATAATTAATGTTTCATGAACCCTCGGTAGGATTAACAATGATGTGCGTTTTGTTGCAGATTTTCCGTAGAGGCTTAGGAGATTTTTTCGTTGGTGTGTTCTTTCAAGTGGAACTTACTCTCCCATTTATAGCAGCGCGGAACATCATGGTTCAGGTAAGAAGTTTTTAGTAAATGACACTATAACAATCATCCAGTGATTCGTGTGGATTTGGAATGTGATTAATTTGAATGCATCAATATTAGAACATGTGATAGAGAACCTGGCCCTGATTTCTCTAAAAAATCAAAATTAAGCCTGAGCATTTTTGCTCACATGGCCCATATATAGCACCCAATTGCTTAGGGAAATCAATTTGATATAAACAAAGGATGTAGCTCCCCTAGGGCCGGTTCATGTGTTGTTTATGAATTTGTAGCTCTGTCTGATATTGTATGTTGTATGTTTGTTTGTTTGTAGCTGTGTCCAGCTAATGTTGTATGCTTTCTTTGTTTGTATCTCTATCTGATGTTGTATGTTTTATGTGTTTGTTTGTAGCTCCAGCTAATGTTGTATGTTTGTAGCTCCAGCTAATGTTGTGTGTTTGTAGCTCAAGCTAATGTTGTATGTTTGTAGCTCCAGCTAATGTTGTATGTTTGTAGCTCCAGCTAATGTTGTATGTATGTAGCTCCAGCTAATGCTGGATGTTTGTAGCTCCAGCTAATGTTGTATGTTTGTAGCTCCAGCTAATGTTGTACGTTTGTAGCTTCAGCTAATGTTGTACGTTTTATAAGTTTCTTTCTAGTTCCAACTGCTAATAATGTTTGTTTTATTTCTGCTTGTTTGTAGGTCCAGCTAATAATGTTTGTTTTATTTCTGCTTGTTTGTAGCTCCAGCTGAAGGACACTGTCCTTTATGTGGTTGTGGGTATTGCAATGATTATAGCGTTCTTTGTGAGTCGGATCCTGGTATTTCCCTACCTGTACTGGAGGTATGCAATCTACAAGAACATAACACCATGGCTTGTGCCCTTCTCTATTCCACACAAGTGTACTGCTGGCTGTGCTTTCATCCTCTGCCTTCAGCTCTACTGGATGTCCAAGATGCTAAAAGGTGCTGTCAAGCTTTTCCACAAGTTGATGCTAGGTAAACGACCCACCGCTGAAAAGATTAGCTGCAATGGTTTTGCCAGTAAGATGAGTTGATTTAGAACATCACTCTTTTTATGTAAAGCAGAAACAGTTGAGTTAATTACTACTTTCAAAGTACTTGTAGGGGAAAAATAGTGTTTTACATTTTGATCAAAATAGTTCTAGGTTCATCCGTACGTATTTCGATACAAAGTATTTCTTTGAAGGAAATGATTTTTTGATAACAATGATGATTTAAATTTTGAAATCGCTAAAATGTTTTTGTTAAAATATGTATTCAATGTGCTGCAAAAGACTTTCTCGGAAGAAATTTACTAGTCCTTCATTAATATGCACCAGAGTTGATATTCTTGACATATTGGACATATGATACTCTCTGTTTTCTTTTAATTTAAAGCAATAATAGCGTTATTTAGAAATACAGGCTAATTTAAATGACTGTGCTTATTTATATTTAATGATCAAATCGGCGACACTCACTGTCAGGGAACCCAAAACAGGACACTTTTCAGTTGATGTATTTTATGCCATTGTATGCATTCCAAAAATATTTGTTCATATTTCATGTATATACACACTCATCTTTTCTATTGCACATGGTTCTATAAATAGAATGTCAAATACTATCAAATATTATTTTGTTATTTTGCCTAATATTGGGGTATAAATTATCAATAAAAGCAGAAAATTGCAAATAGATTAAAGAACATTTTAGACTCAAAGGATGTTCTTATTTAATCTATTGTCCAAATAAGTAGTAATGATAAGTTTCTAAAAATGATACATTTGTATATCCAAAATGATAATGTGCACGGCAAGTAAATTAAAAAAGTCATGTTTTTGAAATCATTTCCTAACTTAAACTGTCTGTGTAACCATAATTAATACCCAATTAAGCTGATATACAGTTGAATTGAAATAAAAGTTTCATATTTCATGTATATACACACTCATCTTTTCTATTGCACATGGTTCTATAAATAGAATGTCAAATACTATCAAATATTATTTTGTTATTTTGCCTAATATTGGGGTATAAATTATCAATAAAAGCAGAAAATTGCAAATAGATCAAAGAACATTTTAGACTCAAAGGATGTTCTTATTTAATCTATTGTCCAAATAAGTAGTAATGATAAGTTTCTAAAAATGATACATTTGTATATCCAAAATGATAATGTGCACGGCAAGTAAATTAAGAAAGTCATGTTTTTGAAATCATTTCCTAACTTAAACTGTCTGTGTAACCATAATTAATACCCAATTAAGCTGATATACAGTTGAATTGAAATAAAAGTTTCATAAAGTGAAAATTGCATGACATAAACAAAATAATCTTTCATCGGCATGCCAATTTCTTTGGCCGTTTTTCCACAGTTATCCCGTTTTGGGTACTGTCCCGTTTTGATTACTGTCCAGTTTTGGGTACTGTCCCGTTTTGGGTTCACCGACGTTATCTGTTATATATTTTTTAATATAAAGTAGATATTGTTACTTCTTGTTGATATTTTTATTTAAACTGTTGTGTGTATATATATTGTCTACCCACCTTTAAGGCTGCCTGAAAAACATGGGTTAAATGTGTTCAGGTTTGGTATTGTTAACATTTTAAAATTATTGACTATACTGTAGTGATATTTTTCAATATTTCGTTATCAACTATTAAGTTTTTATTAGCTCACCTTGTCCGAAGGACCATGGTGAGCTTATGCCATACCACAGCGTCCGTCGTCTGTCAGTCAACTTTTCCTTTAAAGCGCTACTAGTCATGAACGAATGAGCAGATTTTGACCAAATTTGGTCAAAAGCATCCTTGGGGGAAGGGGAACACATTTTGTATAAATGGTGGGTCTGGCCCCCCCTGGGGGCTTAGGGGCGGGGCCCAATAGGGGAAATATGGCAAATACTTTAAAATCCTTCTTCTTCTGTAGGAATGAAAGGATTTGTTCCATATTTGGCCTGAAGCATTCTTGGGTGAAGGGGAACCAATTTTGTATAAACCGTAGGTCTGGCCCCCCTGGGGGCTGAGAGGTGGGACCCAATAGGGGAAATATGGCAAATACTTTAAAATCCTTCTTCTTCTGTAGGAATGAAAGGATTTGTTCCATATTTGGCCTGAAGCATTCTTGGGTGAAGGGGAACCAATTTTGTATAAACCGTAGGTCTGGCCCCCCTGGGGGCTGGGGGTGGGGCCAAACGGGAAATATAACAAATTCTTTAAAATCCTTCTTCTTCCGTAGGAATGAAAGGATTTATTCCATATTTGATCTGAAGCATCCTTGGCAGAAGGGGAACCAATTCTGTATAAACCATGGGTGTGGCCCCCCAGGGGCCTGAGGGGCGGGCCAAATAGGGGAAACATAGCAAATTATTCTTTAAAATCCTTCTTCTTCCGTAGGAATAAAAGGATTTGGTCCATATTTAGTGTGCAGCATGCTTGGGTAAAGGGGAACCAATTTTGTATAAACAGTGGGTGTGCCCCCCCCCTGGGAGCTGAGAGGTGGAACCCAATAGGGGAAAATATAGCAAATTCTTTAAAATCCTTCTTCTTTTGTAGGAATGAAAGGATTTGTTCCATATTTGGTCTGAAGCATCCTTGGGTGAAGGGGAACCAATTTTGTATAAACTGTGGGTCTGGCCCCCCTAGGGGCCTGAGGGGCAGGGCCCAATAGGGGAAGCATAGCAAAATATTTTTTTAAATCCTTCTTCTTCTGTAGGAATGAAAGGATTTGTTCCATATTTGGTCAGAAGCATCATTGGGTGAAGGGGAACCAATTTGTATAAATCGTGGGTGTAGCCCACCAACGGCCTGAGGGGTGGGGCCCAATAGGGGAAACATAGCAAATTCTTTAAAATCCTTCTTCTTTTGTAGGAATGAAAGGATTTGTTCCATATTTGGTCTGAAGCATCCTTGGGTGAAGGGGAACCAACTTGTATAAATCGTGGGTGTAGCCCACCAACGGCCTGAGGGGCGGGGCCCAATAGGGGAAACATAGCAAATTCTTTAAAATCCTTCTTCTTTTGTAGGAATGAAAGGATTTGGTCTATTTTTGGTGTGGAGCATCCTTGGGTAAAGGGAAACCAATTTTGTATAAACGGTGGGTGTGAACCCACATGGGCCTGAGGGGCGGGGCCCAATAGGGGAAATATAGGTTAAACCTTTATTATAATCCTTCTTCTACCATAAGGATTAAGGGATATTATCCTGATTTAGTCTGGAGCATCAATGGGCCAAGGGGACTCAATTTTGTATAAGCATGCAGTGGGTGTGGTCTCCCAAGGGGCAGAAGGGTGGGGCCCAATAGGAGAAATAGACGTTAAACCTTTAAAATCCTTCTTCGACCATAGAGATTAAGGGATTTTATCCTTATTTAGTCTGGAGCATCCTTGGGTCAAGGGGACTCAATTTTGTATAATTGGTGGGTATGACCCCCTAGGTTGCATATAGGGGTGGGGCTCTGTTTGAAGTTTGTTCTCGCTATATCTCAAGTACTGGATGGATCTTTCTGAAATTTCTTATGTACTTACAGCACCTACTTCATACCAATTATTTTAAACATATACAGGTGAGCGATACAGGCCCTCTGGGCCTCTTGTTTTAAATAGTATCAAGTAATCAAACAGACTGACTGAACCTATAAATTTATTTTTAACATTGGCTCCACTTTTGTTCACCGATTTTCTTGAAATATCGCAATAATGGATCATTTCACAGTTTTAAATGCAATTTATCATTTGATAGTCATGTGCTGCAATAGAAATGGCTTATTTAATATAACTATCTGTTATTTTCAGTAAACAGCTGATTTAGTTATTTCATTCACACCTGAAATTTCATAATGGACTATTCCAACCTATTGAATTGGAAGAGTTCAAATGTGTCTTTAGGGGTGAATGCGTTAAGAGATAAAACATGTTCAATTATGAAAATCAATGTGATTATGCCTTTCTTTACTTATTAGATTTTTTTTATATAAAACTCTTAAGAGTTTATTGTGCTCCATTTACAGATCTCATTTTCACAACCTATGTATTGATGACAATCATAGTCTATTATATCAAACAGTTCATAGCTATAGGATTATTGTTATTATCAAGGGAAAATACAGAAAAATCTGAAGTCTTTGTGATCATATCCAACTGTACATTACCTAAATGCCTCTGACCATCAACTACATGTACATACAGTAAAGTATTTCATTCTTATATTTTTTTTATAAGGAGTATGGGCCCTACAGTGTACAGGTTTACAAACTACACAGATAGGAATCGTCATTACTGTATATTCTTCCGTTAAATTTATTAATGATCTAATTTGATGCTTTGTGCCATCACGGCTACTAAAACGTCTTGTAAGTCATGTTGTGTTGACTTAGATATGTAAAGTAGCTTTGGAGTCCTATATGCAGATAAAAAATAAATAATTCATCCCCTTTTTAGATGTAATAATCTGGACTCTTTGATCTTCTGACTCCCCTTACATTTGAAATAAAAAAAAATACCAGGAACAATATTGGAACACATTCAACAAAAATTAAGATAAGTAAATCTTTAGAACTAAGGCAGTCTTCTTATCTTCTGCTGGATAATGTTTTCTATTGGTCAATTCATATTTTACACATTGCTTTCTGGACATTAACTTTCCTCATTACAAAGGGATTTTATTCAAACTTGAGATGTACTTTCATAATGGTTTGGCCGAGTTTTTGCATTGAGGTTAGCTATGTATTAAGTACAACGGCTAGGTTCCAGGGTCACGCAACTTCGCATTCTTTTGCGCCTTTATAAGTATGATTATAACATGTTGCACGACATTTCTGTGACCCTGACCATTGACCTTGATCTCCAAGACCTTGGTGATTTTTTTGTGTTAAGGTACAATATTCCGTGTTTGTATATTGCAGTTATCTGCTCTTGTGAGCAGGTATTGATTGTTACGTCATTTGTTTATGAGAGTAACGTCATCAGTTTTTTAGAAAAACGACGTAATTTTCTCACACAAACCAATGACGTAACAAGCAATACCTGCTCACAAGAGAAGATAACTCTGCAATACGCAAAGACGGAATAGATATGGACTATGTACTGTGTACTGCAGCTATATAATATTAGGAGTGTGGGAGTATGGTATCCTGGTCTTGGAGACACATTTCTAGTTTTGTTACACACAATAACCCTATTTTGTTAATAATATGACACATCGATGAACGACCTGTAGGTATATAGCAAGTGTTACAAGTAGAATGGTATACATAGGTGCTGTCTTGTTTTTAACAAACGATTTATTTATTAATGACACCAACGGCTGTGGTTGCAATGCTCAGTGTAATACAATGGGTGAGTTAATATTTTTGTTGCACTTAGGATTTGCTGCAATATATTTGTAGGAAATATGAAATCCAAAAGATATTGTCAAAGACACATATCAAGTTAATTTTATGCTTATGACTAGATTTACATTCAAATGAGGACTTATAAATGGTAATTTAAAGAATTCTTTATAAACCAACATAAGATTGATCCGTCCAAGTGTCATCACCATTACTGATAAAAAGTTCCATATACCTCATAGTATCCCTATGTCCATGGCCTGTAAATAATATGTGAAGTTAGTCATTTCACACCATTCCTTAAAGCTTATTTTCCCCATTGGAAGACGTT